AAGACATCTCTGACTCATCTCAAGTCTTCACATCTTCTCCTTTGTTTCCGAGCTGCTGGACTCAGTGAAGGTATTGTGATTCCGAACAATGGTACAAACTGCGATTTAATGTTCTCTAAGTATACTACTCACACTTAAAGGATCACAAAAATTCACAACCTTAGTTAGATTTATAATTTGAAATTGTATCCATTTAAAACTGGATAAATAATGATATGGTAACCCCTCTTTAGGCAAACAACCACTTTAATCTAATCTTATGCACTTGATACATGAGTAACCATAAAAATGGATTTCATGGCACCAATGAACCATTTTGCAAATCATGGAACGAGTCATTGACAAATAAACAACACCTGTCAATAGCAGGTATGGGATCCACAAGATGCAATGACATACTGAAACATATGATCCATGCTCACAATAAGCTTAGATATTTAAACCAAATTTGACCCCACATCATGGTTTTCTGTTGAATCTATGATTTGATCCTTAGCAAAGTGTAAATAGTATACGTGTATTGAGTTTTCTACTTTTGCATTCATTGGAAGGTGTACGGTAAAATACTATACTTCTAATTACGAACGGACATCGTCAGCTATAAAAACAATTTACAATTTAAGACAATTTTATACAAATTTACAAACATGAAACGTAACACATTCATTGTGTTCATGTGATATCATTCCGTTTTCAAGAGTGCTAATTATTAAATACCCTTTGAGGAATACTTATATTGTATATTAGTACGGCAGTTAACATATTGGTAGATTCATTGCAAACGAGTGCAGATTATATTTTTAATTGGTTACCCTCAATAGCATTTTGTAAATATTGCTTTCCTATAATAAGAGTGCCAGCTTGCCCACACTTAGAGAGAACTGGGCTTAGTACATAAAGGTTAATAGCCGTAACTGTTAATTAGAAAAATATGTATGCCTAAGTGTGTGAAGAACACCGTGAACTGAATGTGTTAAAAATAACAGTGATAAAATCACACCTATTCATTTTACACCAGAGGCAGTCAGGATTTTGAGGAATGCACTTAGCCAGCATTTCTGAGTGATGCAGTCGCAATGATTAAATAAGTGCATCTGGAATTTTCGATTTTAACGCACCGAGACTCCCGTTCATTACCTGATAGGTTTCCCCATCCCCTCACTCCTGAAGATCGTATGTTGTATGTTTCAGTGCCTCCGGTTTGCTCTTGGTAATGGTTTTTGACACGTTACACTATATCCTTGACGTAACTTCATATACCCCTCATTACAATAGGCTCCCCTATCCCCTCACACCTGAAGAACGTGTGTTGTATGTTTCAGTGACCTCCGGTTTGCTCTTGGTAATGGTTTTTGACACGTTACACTATATCCTTGACGTAACTTCATATACCCCTCATTACATTAGTTGTATTTGAAAGTCTTGGAAAGTCCGCACCGCTGTCGCACCTACACCCGCAAATGCACACGTACTCGCACCCGCTCCAACATTCATACCCGCAACAGCAACGTTATCTGCTGGCACAACTCTAACACTCACGTCAAACACCTCCACCACTCACTTCAACACACTACCACTTACTTACACGCGAGCACACCCACTGACACTATCACTCATATGCACACGCACACTCAAGCATGCACACGCACACACGGATGTTCCAACACTCACAAGCACTCTCTCATTCACTCTCACACACGTGCACGCACATACGCACACACGCACGCACACACACCAGCACCCCAGTAACCATCCCCGGCTTATGACATACCTTAGCGTTTTATCGATGTTCGCCTTAACTATTAACATACGATTGAAAGCATCAATTCCGAAATGTTCAAAAGAATTATGCCAGCTTCTCAATATATGGATTAACCAGAATATATCCTTTATGTTCTAAAATATTATTTCAGACAAATAAGTTGCTTTACTTTTCAAAATTGTTCCACAAACAACCAACAAACATGTCAATCATTTAGTCTAACAGAGCACACAAATTGCAGTGTATATCAACATGAAACAAATAACTCAATCTGTAGACTGGAATACGTATTTTGTGTATAAACAATCGTTACTAGAAACGCCGTATAAACGTTTTAGTCATTTCTAAGTTTCACTGCTCAACATTCATATCACATCATATTCACACTATCCAAGTGTCCGTGTCAACGTTACATTAGATATATATACAACCACTATGTGTCCCTTGCTAACAAATTCAACACCACCGGACACAGTATCACAACTCATTCCAAGTCAACATGTAAACAAACCAAGATTACTCTAGTCTGCAACACAATAAATAAATATAAAATATAAACTAATGTGTATAATAATGTGTATAACAATTTCTGGACAAAATATATACTTCTTTCAAATGCTAATGGTATGGCATGTTCTACAAACAAATACTTGCTGATAGCCATACAAACAACCTTAAAACAACGTAAAAATGAAACGATCACATACTCTGCATAACTGGTTCTTTACTATTTACAAGTGAATGACTGACAATGTTCACATCTCATATTGCAATCTGACCCTAGTCTAACACTTATCATTGTCAAAACCTGCTAAGGCATTGGTCAAGGGTATTTATCGTTGTACAAACAGTTCATAGTGACCATCTCTACAGAAACGGCAACAAAATGGTGTAATATCACAATGTCAATTATACTTCTGCAATAAAGTTGCAGTTATTTTAGTTCTGTCTGAACTTGATAGAACAATCAAGTATAGCCTTCATGTTAGGTTGTGGTTAAATGTAAGCAAGTACAGTGAAGCCCCGTTAGTCCGGACCCCGATAATCCGGATGTCTCGCCTCCCGGACGATTTCAGCTTGTTACCAATCTGTGCCTATTTAATTTGCCTCGATGTATTCCCATTATTTAAATTATTAAATTCACAATATTAGTAAAATACATTCCACAAGTTAGTGAGTGGGTTGGGGTATTGACGCTTTGAACTTGGTATCGAAGAAAATCCCAAAGTGAAGCAAGTTTCAGATTTTTAACAATTTGGGGACACCCACAGAGCAGAAGTATCTTGCTGACGAACGTGAAGGAAGATTCTGGAGTTCCACCCAAGATTATAGGTTCTGACAGGATATTTTTGGTTGATGGGTGTCAGCAACCCCTAAGGCAAAATAAATATATAATGACCATACTTCCTGTTCGGAAAATGTTGTCTTGAAGACGACGCTACACTATGTACCGGTGCCAAGTGTTAAATGCCAATCCTACTGATATTGTTGCAAAACTATTTCTACTCACCGCAACAATACATACAATAAACATGAGAGAATGTTTATCGTGCAAACTTCATAATGCCTCTTAAATATATTTATTCGACACTTCATTTTCACCTTTCGATTTGAATTACTTTCATCTGTCATACTAGTTCCCTGACAAATGCATTGGTGAATATCATTATAGTTCTACAAAAATGTAATTGATTTTAAAGTATCAATGTTTGTAAGTTATATTATACAAAGCATGTAATACTTAATAAATTTAAAAGTAAAAGTCTTCATTTTCTTTCAACTTATTTCAAAAACTTTGTTAACTAATATATATAAAATTCTATGTTCATTTTCCTCCATGTTTATATAAAATACAAACATTAAATGCAAACAAATTATAATCTCCGTACAATCCCCGTGTTCACTAATGACCTCCGTTTATTGATATATAATGACGTAAAATGGCAGATTACAGATCAGAATTACAAATATGTTTCCAGTGAAATATTCACCACAACAACACAATGTCCTTGGCGTACATTCTGTTTGCTTGTTTCTTGCTTCAGAGAATTCAGAGAATCCAGCGGTCTCCACATATTCAAGTCTGGACCAGACAAATCAATGAGTTTTATGGTGAAGACAGACTTTCAGAGTACGATGACTTGCCAATTAAACTGGAGTACAAAAGAAAGTACACACCTGGCATTTTGGGAATATTTGAAAAGTGTTGTGATTTTGACTGGCAACTCCGGAATTGGGCCCGATATCTGTGGTGTTTTGGCAACATATAAGGAAAGTCTGTGACTTATATATCACTGTAAAAACTCTTTTCAAAATATTTACGTCGCTTTTTGGAAAGTAGTCCCAAAGCACCGGATGTGTACTTTCTTTTGTACGTCAGTATAGTTGCATGCACATGATTTAACATGAAATCCAAGCAGAGCGTGGAAGAGCAAACAAACCCTTTTCACAGAGACAAAGTTTCACTCTGAACACATCCTCCACCTTCTAGTCGTTCCTTTATTTCTGTGTATGTTATGTGAGTGAATGAATATCGTTTTGCGCCGTTTCTACCATTTTTCTGCAACCATACGGCGGAGACACCAGAATAAGTCTCCATACATTGTACCCATGTGGAGATTCGAACCCAGGTCTGCGGTGTGACGAGCGAACGCTTTAACCACAAGGCTACTCCCACGGCCTATAGATCATGCGAATGTTTACCCAAGACGTACAGGGAGATAGGGGAAGTCCAAAAATTGATGTCAGTGTGTTTTAGAGATAGGACTGGATAGGACATCTTAAATGGTTCGTGAAGTTCTCTCGGTAGGACATGTTTAGCCTTTCGTTAACACCGGGTGTCATCACACATTCTCAGTAACCCATCTATCTACGTTTCACGACCGTTTTCCCTTTTACGAATAATCGAGATGGTTTATCCTCTGGCGTTGACATGATACGTTTATATATACATCCTGGTCTTTGAATGGCATTTTAAAAGTGATACGCATAAGGGAAAGAGTCCTTTATGGGTGTCATTGTATGTGTTATGCGTTATGTGTTATGTGTCCTCATAATGAAGACTGACTGACTGAGTTTGGTTTTACGCCGCTTTTAGCAATATTCCAGCAACATCACGGCGGGGGACACCAGAAATGGGCTTCACACATTGTACCCATGTGGGGATTCGAACCCGGGTCTTCGGCGTGACGAGCCAACGCTTTAACCACTAGGCTACCCCATCGCCCTCATAATGAAGTAGCTACCTTATCTACATCCTGGTTAAATTAATGATAGAATACGCCCCGGTGTACCGTAAAGGCTGACTAATTAGATTGGTTGATCAGGCTAGGTTGTCATCGTGATCCGACAGCCTGCGATGTCACTCATTACATCAACCACCGGTTTGTCTAGTCCAGACACGAAATTATTCAGGTACCCTTGACTGGCCGAAATATTTCCGACTGCGGCATTAAACAACAAACAAATAAACAAACGTCACGACTGGGAATGATTGTACTAATTGTATATGATACATTGGATATATCTACTCAGGAAAACAGCTACACGTGCATGTGCGACAGAGGCATTAATTGCCGACACGCACATAATCATTTCATTGCTATGCTCGATCACATGAGAGATACTGGTTTGGCACAATTTTTAAATATTGCATTTCGATGAAAATCAACTAACGTGACTGTTCTATCAGCTTTATGATACAAAGCGACGACAACCGATCCAAGGTGGATGATCGCACGGTCTACAACGTTGCATAATAAACGGCCATGAGCCGAAGTCGTTGAAGGGTTTTATCCCTGAAATCACACATAATCCAACACTAAAATGTATGACGTCATCAATCTATGTGCATAATGTCATCAGAAGTGTGCGTTGTGGAATTGTGGTCCGTTTTGGGAGGCTTATTGTAACTGTGTTGCCTAAACGTGGACTGTTTTCGAAGAAGTTCGTTCGATTCCCGTACTGGAAAAAAAGAACAGACATTTTAAAATTCCAATATGGACATGTTAATATTGAGTTGTACAAAGAAAAATTGAACCATCAGCACTGAAAAAAACAAAATCGTTAATTGAAAGAATATCAAAATTTAAACGTGTCATAAGAAAATCCATGTATATCAAAAAGCTTCAAACTGGAAAGCAAAAATAATGCGTTGCTAAGAGCTGAAATCAATATAATGTAAACAAGGATATATGATTAAATGGTAACGATTTCTTTAAATATTGATACCACAAAATAATGATGTTATATTTGTACGTCAAAGGATGCAAGATATATAATAAGATAAGCATTAACTATAGAGGGATTAATTCTTTTTCAATGTAATTCATCGTCTTTTATATACTTTCCTATTATAAGTGTCATTATTAATACACAATTTTGCTTTTTGTCATTATTTCATTGCCATAATTAAATTATATAAGAAAAGTTTAATGATCAGTTATACAGACGTATTCGAGCATGCCAAAATCATTCTCATAAGAAAGGTATTATAAAAGGTATTACTTACAGTATGTATGTGGGTAATATCATTAGTTTGACACGATGCAATGATTCAGAAATACTAAAGCAGGCACCTTGTAGGTGATGTTAAATTCTAACTAGTACAGTTTCGAAGCGTGCATACAAATAATTGCAGATCATTATTGTATGTATAAAATCCAAAAAACGTATCATAATTCATTCCATATGTGCACTGATGAAACCACACAATGAGGGAATTGTAATAAAATGGTTGAAACATATTCTTTTGTAAATAAGATCAGATTAAGTTCATGAAGTAACAAATCAGTTTCTACATTAACCAACTTATTTAGGTATGAAAGTACGTAGTGTTCTCTCTCTACGCGCAAAATGTTTATGCAAAGTTATCTCCCCTTGCAACACGTAATATTTTATTGTTGTATGAATTTGCATGATTGCTCAGGAGCATGTATGACAATAGAGGAAGCGTACAGCAAGGAGATGTTTTGAGACTACTACTTATTGACATGCTGAGGCTATAACATAGAATCTAGGTTATGAGCGTACATATGCAGATTGGACAAAGGCACAGAACACACATGGAGAGCACTTTGGGATGTTTTTGCATTCACTGCCAAAGACGTAACGAAAATAACGAAGACTAACGGAAACATCCGAAAGTCACATTAAAACTAAAATAAACTAAGGGGAGATAACTATGATAGCGCAAACCTGGGTTTTCCTGCTTTCTCGGTGGCCAGGTCTTTCCACGGGCGAAAGATCTGTTAGCATCTGCTCAGTGTGAAGCAAGAAAAGAATGTCAGATACGAAACAGTCTATTTGCGCATGGTGAAGCCATATTAAATATATTCAGTGCGTCCTAAAACAAGACAGGGAGAGATAAACATGTAAACATACATGGAAAGGACGATAACAAGGGATAATAAACACAGAATCATATATGCATAAACATGTGATCTAAATGTGTATACAAGTAAGATGGCCGAGTCTTATCCTCTGCAATTTGCTGTGCAGAGTTGAGTTTTGCTGAGGCGTATCAGGTTTCGACAGTTGTAGTAGGTTCGAAACTGTTATGATCAATGATCCGTCAGCACCTTACCTGTGCTCGTGGGTCGGACCATTACCTATGTCACCCTGTGCGTTTCTGCCGTACAATACCCGTGAAGGTCCGGGGAAGAATATTGATCTTCAGTAACCCTTGCTTGTCTACCCGTGAAGGCCCGGGTTAGAATATTAATCTTCAGTAACCCATGCTTGCCGTAAGAGGCAACTAACGGGATCGGGTGGTCAGGCTCGCTGACTTGGTTGACACATGTCATCGGTTCCCAATTGCGCAGATCGATGCTCTTGCTGTTGATCACTGGATTGTCTGATCCAGACTCGATTATTGACAGACCACCGCCATATAGCTGGAATATTGCTGAGTGCGGCGTAAAACTAAACTCACTCACTCGTCCGTACAAAGACAGTGAGTGAGTATATATTCACGCCGCTCTTAGCAATATTCCTACAAATCCCGGGCGGTTGCTAGCAGAAACGATTTCCACGATTGTACCATTTGGGAGAATTCAACCAATGTTTTCGACGCCTTAACCAAATTAATTACCCCACCTGCCCCTTGTTAAACCAGTACGTTGTGATCTAAATATAATACTGTTAAAATGACCTCAAACCCAGTCATTCACACCTTTTCATAACGTGCAGGATCTCTACAACGATTATTGATTAATATACATTTTGGACGAGACATCAAGAATTCAACAACTCTCTCTCTCTCTCTCTCTCTCTCTCTCTCTCTCTCTCTCTCTCTCTCTCTCTCTCTCTCTCTCTCTCTCTCTCTCTCTCTCTCTCTCTCTCTCTCTCTCTCTCTCTCAATACATTAGAAAGTAGGTCATTGTTGCAAAGTCTTATACAAATATTGCCATTCTATTTCCACTGTTTGCACAAAATGCCGCCCGATGATTATCGCGTTTTGTATATTGATATAATTAGCGCTAGTTAGTAGTCTGTTTGATCCCCATATTAGGAAAATGGTTACCATTCAACAATAATTGGGTTTCAAAATACGAAAATATGTTTTCAATCGATAACAATTGGATTGAAGATAGCCTGGTGCAGTTGGTATGGATCGGGAGCCAAGAGATAGTTGATAACATGCCTAAGCAGCTTCCCCAGCAACTGATGAAGACTGTGTGAATGTAATGACAAAGAGTATATAGGTTAGACCATTGTCTAGTTATGTTTTCCATCTTACAATGTAGAGGGATGGAGAAGGCTGGACATCTGAGAAAGAAGGCACACAGGTCTGACAGTACAACAACCAGTTTCTTCAGGATGTGTAGAATGTGCAATGAACTTGTATTTTCTGTTAAATTCTACACTTCAAACGAAAAAAGTGAAAAATAACTGTTGAAAAAATATTTTCCCATCGGTTTCAAATAAAAGCATTATGCATAATGCTCTATCCTCTACATTCGGCCATTACGCATTGCTTTTCGATGGGCACTTAATGCAATACAAAACGGTTAATCCAGTACAATCGGTTCCCAACACAATACATTAACGTTCAGTATATTGTACTGGCGTCACATACAATGCACACACTTCATGAAATCCATAACACTATGTGACATATGCACGCTTTCCAAAAAAATGCACAAAATTCTAGTCTACATGACCGGTCACTGCTACAATGCACACACCCCATTCAATGTGACCGGTCACTGCTACAATGCACACACCCCATTCAATGTGACCGGCCCCATGTACAATGCATAACACTGAATCACATATCATAGTTCCATATTACAATGCACACTTTGTCCTCTACGATAGGTCTTTAATGCATGCGCATTGTTACATAATTATGATCATTTCCAAATATAATACACAGTGTCTCTATCCTATATGAGGGCGGTGGGGTAGCCTAGTGGTTAAAGCGTTCGCAAGTCACGCCGAAGACCCGGGTTCGATTCCTCACATGGGTACAATGAGTGAAGCCCATTTCTGGTGTTCCCCGCCGTGGTATTGCTGGAATATTGCTAAAAGCGGCGTAAAACTATACTCCCTCCCTCACTATTCTGTATGATGGGTCAATAATATTACACACAATCGGTCCATGATAAAATGCATAACACTCCAATATACAGGATCGGCGCTTAGGGGCGGTGGGGTAGTCTAGTGGTTAAAGCGTTGGCTCGTCACGCCGAACATCCGGGTTCGAATCCCCACATGGGTACAATGAGTGAAGCCCATTTCTGGTGTCCCCCGCCGTGATATTGCTGGAATATTGCTAAAAGCGGCGTAAAACCAAACTCAGTCAGTCAGTCAGGATCGGCGCTTAAGGAAATAGTAAGAACCACGAACTGTCGGATCCGGTAAGTGCAAGAAAAATCAAATGCATTTCATTCTATGTTAATCATCATTGTTCATAATTTTGTGGCATTTGGGTAAACTTTCAATGACATGGTCCATATCAAATGTGCTTCACACGTTCTATTGCTATACTGTGAGTGGCAGGGTGCACGTGTACTAATGTAGCAGTTAGTAGCGATCCTGATGAGTAAAGTAAAGTTGAGTAAATAATCCGACAAACCAGGGGTTGATAGCATGAGCAACGGTCCAAGCTATCGCTATCACGATTACACACAAGGTAAGTCACACATTGTACTGCCCATTCCCCAAAATCCCAATTCGTCAATAACGGAAAACCAGTGGGCAGTTCTGCCCCAAGACTCTTATAGGGCTAAATGAGTGAGCTAAATGAAAGCGTTTCAGTTATATTTCGGTATATCGACGTAATGCAGGTATCAGACGTTTACCAAGTTGGTGAAATCAACAAGCACAGGCATGGTGCTCATAACCAAGAAGCATTATGAGGATTCGAACCAATGTCATTGCCACCATACAGCTGGAATATTGCTCAGTGTGGCGTAAAACTAAACTTACTCAATGCCATTGACAAACGGTTGCACTTTAGACTACTGACCCGTGAAGCTCCGGGTTAGAACTGGTCTTCAGTAACCCATGCTTGTCATAAGAGGCGACTAACGGGATCGGGTGGTCAGGCCTGCTGACTTGGTTGACACATGTCATCGTATCCCAGTTACGTAGATCGATGCTCATGCTGGTGATCACTGGATTGTCTGGTCCAGACTCGATTATTTACTGACCACCGCCATATAGCTGGAATACTGCTGAGTGCGGCGTTAACTAAAACAACAAAAGCAGTCTCAGGCTACTCGGACACCCATGCCACGACGAAATAATGGCAGACCAATCGGTTCCCACTGTTGAAATTCGCAGAGTTACCAAACTTGCACCAATTTACGAAACCCTCCTCATTTTAATGAATCTCATTCAGTTTCCAAATATTTACAGTAAGAGACATTTACAGAAATTCGAAAGCTTGCAGTTGTACAGGTTTAGAGAAGCCCACTAATGTATATTTGTTCCAGGGGCCAAGGCATATTCTGAAAGCCTCTGTTGCCCTTAACATTACATAAGACCAAGTAAATCAGATCTGGTAACGAGAACGGTCAATACGCCAGGCTTTGTAATTTATGTGAACGACAAGCATTGAATTGAAATTGAAAGATGGGGAAAGGAAAGTGAATTACGGTGAAGAGAATTGGAAACGCGAACTCGGATGCAAAATCAACGACAAAGCAAAATTCAATATAGGGCATAAAAAAGAATAGCTTGCAATTGCATAGCAATAACTTTAGATCAGGCAAAAAGTGGATCATGTCCCATAAATCAAATGGCTTGCAAAAAAATTGCTTTCTGGGCTTAATTCATCTGATTTAATGGCTTGGAAAGAAATCATCTCCCAAATGAAATGAGATCCTATTTGCAATAACAGGACGTGGGTATTTGTTTGCTATTGCCAATTTTATTCTTGGGATCTGGGGATGTCCATGGACCCTGGGGGCCACTACACTCGCCTGGATATACCTTGGTTTGTGTATATATAACTCAAATCCATGGCAGCCTTGCGAGGAAGAGCATGGTCGTGAGCATTCTGTTGTGAGATATTGGTAGTTTATTGGCATACTCCGTAACTGATCAACCATTAACTTTGTCAGGTCGATGTCCTCGTTCATGGTTGGATGTCTGCAGCGTCAAATTAGACAACGACCTTACTTCACACAAACCTATCTGGGCTGCGGCGGTCGTGTGATCTAAGTGTTAGTATTTCCCTGTGGCTTTCCTTAATCATGCCTGATTACATTGGTCCTGGGTTTAAAACTATGATCCTAGGCAAAGAATTTAGCTTTCCTTACCCAGGTAAGTGACCGGCCGTTTGGGGTTGGTGGGATTTTTTTCCCCTGACAATGCAGTGAGAAAGGTACTTATTTATTAGTATGTTTGTTGTTTAACTCTGCACAGCTATACAGCTTCGGTCTGTAAATAATCGAGTCTAGACCAGACAATCCAGTGATGAACAGCATGAGCATCGATCAACCCAATTGGTATACAATATGACATGTGTCAACCAAGTAAGCTAGCCTGACCACCTAATCCCGTTAGTCGCCTCATACGACAAGCATCGGTTGCTGAAGACTAATTTGACTTAAGTACGACTCAATTCTTACTTTTGGGTTGGGTGTGGGTGAGCTTTACTTCAAGTTAGTGCGCAGCAGCACCGCAGCTTATGTCTTAAGCAACATGTCTGCATTTCCGCTTCCGGTTGCAAGGAAAGGTTCCTCTGCCAGATTTGTACGTTTAAGGCTTGGCTATAAAGCCTGTGTTGAAATAACCTGCTGACA